GGGGGGGGGGGGGGTATCTTATCAATTTTGAAGTTACTAGTATAAGGAAATCCTATTATCTACTATATATATGTATACCCATATTCCCATATATTATGGTTAACTGAACCGGAACTTAAGTTAAGCCACTATACAGGGAAACGTTATGATTTAATATATACCTTTTTTCGGTAACCTAAACTTGGCTGAATTTCGTTGTTGGGGGCTGTTGTGCGCCGCTGGCTGTGACAGGCTTGCCTAGGGCTTAGTAGGGATTATTCCCAGACATCATCAGTCGGTATAACCCATGCAACCTCTTAGAGTATAGGTAGTGAGGGTTGCATGTAAAGCTGTTCACTGTTAGATCGAATGCAGGGCTTGCTTAGAGCCACAGGCTTCTCGTGGATGATGTGCTATCATCCGATTATTTGGCGATTTGAAGGGAACGTAGGAGACTGTGAATGGCGGGCGCAGGGAGTATCAGAGTAGGATCCCAAATCCCACAATCCTTGTCCTACCCGTTGATGTATGTGTATATTCTCTGTTCGCCTAGGTTGTTTTTGTTAAAAAAACTTGCGAAACAAAAGGGCGACGCATCAGCGTTGCAACCAGCATCATGTGCTGCCAGTCCTCTTAAACATGTTCGTACTCCTGGTTAGTAGCGAAGTGGTTAGGGTTTAGGGCCTCTACATTACTGTCCTACGATGAATTGCGTGCAAATGCACTGTAGACAGCTGAGGGGAAGCCAGCATGTTAATTCCCTTGTGGAACTCAAGTGGGGGAGAGCTGAAGTGTCAAGCCAAGTTTCGGTACGGTGTGTGGTGGCGAGGAGACAGTTTTTTGCCCTCGAGCTAGGGAGTGGGAAAAATCGAGGCATGCACTTGTAGGCTTCCCAGCCCATGCAAGCTAAGGATTGTTCGCATTTACGATCCGCACCAGGGCAAGTATACCATGGTGCACTTTGCTGCCATGTATGGAATGAAGCGTGTCCTGGCTCATGTCATTGACGGGCTATCAGATATCGAAGATGAATCCAAAATCACCTGTCCGGCGGAGATCATTGGTATTGTTCCTGGGCCTGTATGAGAGGCATCTTTGAGATTTAGGGTTTAGGGCTTAGCGTGCCAAATCTAGGGTAAGATTCTATCCTCTGTTTGTGTATAGTTTTTAGCAAGAAGATTTTCACCTCGCTGGCTTCAACCACCATTGAAAACGCTACTCACATGAAGCCGCATGTTGGCCTACCCCTAAGCCCTAAACCCCTAAACCCTAAACCCTTCTTGGGTACCATGCAAACTCTGCGTGCAACTGAGGAACTGCCTAGATATGGTGAGAGGACTGGGTTGCTGTTGAGGAACTTAAGTAGGGTTGGGGTTTAAGGCTCAGAGTTTAGGGCTTAGGGAAGGAAACTCTGGTATCTACCATATACCCATACATAATTACGTACATATGTATATATATACACACCTATATATCTATTGTAGTAACTTAATGTAAGTTCCTTAGCAACAATCCAGAGGAATCAAGTCATCTACGACTTGCGAAGCTTGTTCACCGCGGCGGATGATCGCTGGACATCCCTTAACCTCAAGCAGAAGCTGAAGCAGATGAAGGAAAGCTTTAAAGGCAAGACCAAGGAGGAGCGGCATTATGACTACTAGTCGTATTATTGTTAGATAGGGTTTAGGGTTTTAGGGTTTAGGGTGTAGGGTTTAGGGTTTTGTGTTATGCTTAGAGTTATGTTTGTTATTACTGTTAGTGTTATCGCAAAACTTATGACTATTATTGTTAATATTAGTAGTATTATGATTGCTTTAAAGGCAAGACCAGGGAGGAGCGGCATGAACCGATATTCCACCTCAAGTAGATCGACTCGGGAACATAGGGCATATTTGGGAGCTATATAGGCATTATATGGTAAATACTGGAGCTACATAAGGATTTTCGGGTGTATAGGGTATATATTGGAGTTATATTGGGATAATGAAAAAGGGAGACTACTATTTAGGGTTTAGGGTTTAGGGTATCGTCCCGCTTAAGTAGATTGAATATGGCTTTGGGTATATTAGAATAAGGTCCCCATATAACCCATATTCTATCTACTTAAGGGGGACTATAAACAGATATCCATTCCGCTTTCTATGTACACTGTACACCCCCCCTGTAATGGAAACTATTCCACGCAACTTCAACAAGGCCACTACATTGTGCTTATGCATTGTTAGGGGCCTGGGGGAGGTCATTATCCAGAAAAGGAAATTGGGGTTTAGGGGGGGTTTAGGGATCTGTGCTTCTGCGCGAGGGCCTGCCAGTAGCGGGTTTTCTATGTTGGCGCCCGCCCCAAAACCTAAACCCTGCATCGCACCAGCAGGAGCTAGTGGAATTTCTGAGGAGGCTGGGTGCTGCTTGATGCCTCATGCGATTATGTCCTGAACCTCAAAGCAAGGGTCCTGGTATGTTGAGGGTTCAAAGCCAAACCCAAACAAAACGCCCGAAACTGCAAAGCTCATCCGCGAGACCCTTGCTCGAGGGAGCTCCATGAGCACATCCACTACGTAGCTGCCTTGGACACAGAGGAGGCAAGCGGTGGTTCGAAGCTGGGTGCTTGCTGCTGCTGTTGCTACTTGTGTGCCTCTTGAACTTTGACTTTTTTGGGGGGAAAGGAGCAGATGGCTTATTTGTATTCTTACTACCATTACTATTATCAGGGAAGAATGATCAAAGACTCAGAAGATCTCATGGGCTTGTTGTTTTTCACCGCCGTCTCCGTCGTTGGTTACGCTTTTGCCTCCGAGGGGTTGCACATGTGTATGCATCCAGTGGCTTGCTCTTTTCCTTAGGAACTTGAGTTAGCGTGGCATGGGTAGGGACTACATACGCACATATAGAGACTTTAACCGCAAAGATGGGAGAATCGCCTAGAAAAACAAAAAAGAAGCTGTGGTTATATAGGCGTTCTAGAGGGCTTTGAGCGGCTTAAATCAAGCTGCATAGTGCTACATAATCTGGGTATACAGTAAGTTGGCAACAGGGCTGGCAACGAGAATAAGTTCCGGACAGTAGCCCAGGTACCCCAGTTTTTGTCTGCTGTTGTACGACCAATGCCATGATGAGAACAGTCATTTCCTACACCAGGTTTAGGGGTTTAGAGTTTAGGGTGATATTTCTAGAAATTTGGGGGCAGAATCGTAGACTCCAAGTTGAGTACGGTCCTTGTAAATGACTACTCCTCGAAATGGGCCGCATGTTGTTTGGAAACACCCATACCAGTTGGGAGCTGATATGTCCAACCTAGGAGGGTGACCCTTATAATGTCTTGCAAACTTTATCCATCCTGAACGCCCCTAAGGCTACCACGAGAATTTGAGAAGCACTCACTTGCAATTTGCTGACCTATGCCTGACCCAGTCTTGTTAGGGTTTAGGTCTTTTGGGGTTTAGGGTTTTTGGGGTTTAGGGCTTTTGGGGTTTAGGGCTTTTGGGTTTTTTTAGGTTTTACTGCAGATGAGTGAGTCTTTTTGACTTCTTCCCGCAACGAACTGCACCCTTCCAAAGCCTCATAACTCCCAGCTCGTCCCTGAAAAGTCCCAGTATCCCCCCCCCCTAATCACCCCTGCAGTAGCCCCCGGAATAAGCCGCTAGATAATCCTTTTAAGGAGTTTAGACTATAGCTCATGTCGGAGAGGCGATTGAGTTCTTCGATGCCGCGCTGGAAGCTAAAGCTGAATGGCGAAAGAAGAAGGACAAACTGGATGCTGTTTTTAGGGTTTAGAAGGGCATCCCAATCTCAGGGTCTTGGGTTTAGGGTTTAGGATTAGGAGGGGGTTCTTGAAATGGGCTTCCATGCCTTCCGCACATCAGCGGCTACGGCTACATCTTGTCGGCCGAAAAGGGGACCCCCTCAACCCCAAAGCCTCAATGCTAAACCCAGACCCTAGACCTTAAAACCCCAAACCCTAAAGCCGCAAACCCTAAACCCCTCAACCCTAAACCCCTCAATCCTAAACCCCTCAACCCTAAACCCCTCAACCCTAAACCCTAAAGTCACAAAACAGTAAACCTTCATCACTGGGAGGATGCCACAACTGGAGATACAGCTCTGCACATGGCGGCAAGGGCGGATAACATTTCCATTGTCAAGCTGCTCTGCGAGAAGTACAAGGCAGGAAAACTCTTCTCCTGAAACCTAGATGGTTTAGGGTTTCGGGCTTGGGGTTACGGGTTTGGGGTTTAGGATTTGGGCTTTAGGGTTTGGGGTTTAGGGTTTAGCATTTGGGGTGTTGGTGCTTGGGTGAAATGGGCAAGAGAATGGAAGCTATCGTGCAGGCCTAAGGGCTTAGGGCCTGGGTTAGGGAATCAGGAATGGATCTATGAAGCAATTTCGATATAATCGTCGATGACAGTCCTTACAACTCATTCCCTACTAGGCGCAGTGAGCTTTACCTTGCGGATTTGCTTAAAGTGGGGGGGGCCATACAAACTCTAGAGGGATGTATCGGGAGGACAAAAAGATTACACGGGTGCCCACACGGGATTCTAAGGGCTCAGGGCTTAGGGACTAGAGGGATGATGGGCAACATCAGTTTGGGATTTAGGGTTTAGCGTTTAGGGTTTAGGGTTCTGGGGATAGCCCAGCCCTTCAAGACTTGCTCTCTGCGAGGTGAATAAAGAAGAGCCTTGGAGCAAAAGAAGCAAATTTGCCCTAAGAGCCCAAGTAGCCAAGCTGTATATACTTCGACCCAAACTGTGCCTAGGAACCGATCCGGGCCTATCATAAAAAGAGCCAGACATAATCTCCTCACAGGGGGTTCTATTAGGGATTATACAGGGGACTACGATAGGGGGTTATTAAGGTGGATACTAGGACTTTAGACTATGGCTCATATGAGAATCACGCGTTTGGGCTCTTAGGGTCTGAGGCATGGCATGGAAGAGATACTTGTGTGCTGAGCTTGAGATTCTGAGCTTGTGGACTGCCACAGGTTGAACTTACGGGTGCTTAAGGGAGAGTGTTCGAGTGGATCAAAATGACTTTTCCTATAGGAACCCCATATAGTCCCGCATTCTACTCCTTTATCTTCCGCCTTAAGCACCAGCAAGTTGAGGGTTTAGGATTTGGACGCCTTGCGCCAAGGACAAGAATATGAACCAGGAGCGGCCCATACACAGCGCAGCAAGGAACCACAGCTACAAGACCATGAAGTAACCTGGCTAATAGGGTGCCTGCTATGTCATGAAGCTACCCACGAGTGGGGTAACAGGGACCCTTTTTTGCACCGCCTGGTGTATTTGGAAAATTCGAGTAACCTTCATGTAGGCAAGCCCTGAACCCTAAACCCTAAAGGTACCTGCTGGAGGGAGGTGTGCAGCCGCTTCCGCCGAATTTCAAGAAGGAGCACCCCATGCACCTGCTGGCCAAGACGATGTCACTCAGGTTGCCCAAGGGAATTTAGGGTTTAGGGTTTAGGGGGTTTAGGGTTTAGGGGGTTTAGGGTTTAGGGTTCAGGTGTCGTACACATATGAAGCCGCAGGACCTATAATAAACCCTAGACGGCGCACCCTGAAACCCTAAACCCCGGAACCCCAAACCCTATAGTCCCCCTTTCAAGTAGATAGAAGATGGCTTTGCGTATATTTTAAAAATATCTTCATATACCCCATATTCTATCCACTTCAGCGGGACAACACCGTAATTAAGCCCCTCCCAGTTGTCGCGCAGGTCTCCTGGGCAGAAAGCACCGGATCCTCAGCAGTTCCAGGAAGTGGTGGGCATTTTGATGGCCAAGGTTACTGAGTGGGTTTAGGGATATATATATTGTAGGGGTGTAGGGTTAAGGGTTTGGGGTTCGGAGTGGTATAGCCCGGAGAATCAAATGGAAAACAACATGGAAGATGACATGAAAACTGGAAGTAGTTCGGGATGTCAGATGGATCGGATAAGGATCAGGTTGAACAACTCCCCTACATCAGCAAATATGGAAACACGCGCTGCTTGCGTTGAACACCAGACCTGCCGCCCTACACCTGGAACCCCGGATCCCAAAACTTCAACCGTATGAGCCTGTACCATGAACCGTACACCCCACTCCTAATATCATAGCCCCTAAACCCCAAATCCAAAACTCTAAAGACTCTAAAGCCCACTCCTGATATCATAGCCCCTAAACCCCAAATCCTAAACCCTAAAGCCCAGGTGGGGTTGCATGATAACCCCCGTCCTCAGAATTTAGCCAAGCCCGAACATTCCTCAAAAGTGTGCAGAGAGCCCCCAAAACGATAAGAAGAAATCACACCGATAACGCCTAGAAACCCCATAGAACGATAAGAAGAGAAAAGCAACGATGACCCCAATTTGGCAGAAAGGATAGGTAGGGGGTTTGGCGTGTAGGGTTTAAGGCTTAGGGTTTAGGGTTTAGGGCTTAGGGCTTGGGGCTTAGGGTTTAGGGTATACAGCCACAGGTTGCAGAGTCCAACAGCTGGATGAACCTCACCAAGCGAGATGCAGATGGCAAGTCTGTCTCTTGACCGTACTCATTGGGAAAAACCGGGTTTAGGGCTCAGGGTGCAGAGGGAAAAGTAGGACTATTGTAAGAGTGACTTGTGGGGAGTATGTGGGGACAACCACGGGGATCCATTGCCCCGTGCACTAAACCCTGAACCCTAAAGCTGAACTCTAAACGCAACTCAGTATGTACAAGGTATTGGAGTACTTGGTCAGCTCTTGTGACCATGCCTATGCCTGCCCTGTGGTTGAAACGTTGGCCCACATGATCCCGGCCGTGGTCCTCGCGCCTTGCTTCAGATAGGGTTTAGGGGATTCTGAGAATACGCCCCTTAAAGAGGGTTTAGGGCTTAGGGAGACTAGGGCGACTAGCAGGAGTGCGTTAAAGGGTTCTATTCTATGGGGATCATGGTAGAAGCTCCGCTTTGGCTTCCACATGCCCCTTGCTTGAGCAAGCTCCAATTGCGTGAAACCTCAACAAACGGAAACTTTGACTGCTAGCAAGCCAAATCTAAAAGAAGGAGAGCACCCTTCGCTCTGCTACGAAATGGAAAAGGAAACAAAAACAAGCTGCCCTGCCAGTAGGAAAAAGTTCCGAAAGAAACCGGAGGATAGTTGGCGGATGCTAACAACACTTCCATTGTACAAGATTGCCGCGAGAAATATCGAAAACTGAGCTCGTTTTGCGTTTCACCATAATGTTGACGAAGCCCCAGGTCACTGCGTGTACACACTTGGCTGGCGAACACTTCTCTTTGCTTCTCAGGGCAGTCGCCAAGTAACAAGATCAGCTTAGACTCACATCCTGGTCCTGGACCACATGAAAATTTCAAATGTACTCCACGCTTACTTAAAAATTTTCCGAACAGGGAAAGAGGTTCCTTCTCTCCTGGAAACACAGAGCAGTCCGCCGCATTCACTGGTAAAACCTCCACCCCAAGCACGAAGCCCTGACAACCGGGAACCCAGGAGAGTAACTGCTTCTTTGCGGCGCTCGACAACCCGACGGGGCCTGCTCGGCTTTTCAAGGCGTCTCTGGTAGCTTGCTTGGGGGTTTGGACAGTTCAGGCTTTGGGGTTTAGGGTCTGGGTTTAGGGCTTTAATGCTTCGCATAGGAAATCGTTCGAGATATGATGCCTGCAGTCCTCCCAAAGAGCGACCCTACTTCGTTGAAACTGTCGGATGTCTCACTGCTACAGCGCCGCCTGCCGCACTGCTCTTGCCGAGGCCTTGTTGAGAAATGCCACAGACAGAAAGATCCTGCTGAAGCTGCTGGAGCAAGATCAGGACCAGCGGACTTCATGGCAGTTTGTATGGCCTAGAGCCTACACTGCTACCTTTTCCTGCAAGCGCAGGATCGTGGGTGTAAATTGCTAGTAGCGTGGTAGCGCTCATCGTCACATATTCTGCGTACACGCTGCCCCAGTGGAGACAAGGAAGATGAATGCACCCCTCACGACGTACTGTTCCACTCGCCCACTCCCTTGGGACTGGAACCCTGGAATCCCTTAAACCCTAGGCCACCCTAAACCCTACACCCTAAACCTAAACTCCTGACCTGAACATTCCCCAGGACCGAAGTGGGCTCAATGTGGTACAGATCTGTGCCAAACAAGGAGATGTGGACTCCTTGAGGTTGGACGACCCACTGTTGAGTTTAGGATTGAGGGTGTAGGGAGTCCTGTATGACCTTGGTAAGTGTATTCTAATACCGCAATTCCCAAGGTACAGGGTACTCAGAGTCATGCAAGACTTCTGGCTTAGAAGGGGATTCAACACACACCTTTTGTGGGTTTGTTCGAAGTGTTTGGCTTTCATCGATTCTTCGCAGGCGGATTCCGTAGACCCCATTCTTGGGTCTAGGGGGGTGGTTCAATGATGCATAAAGGTATATACTTATGTTTATACATTGAAATATGTGTATATGTACATAAGCATATATATATATGTATATTGCATATGCGTGCATTGGAAGGCCTGTTATCGGACCCTGGTTTGCATGCTGTCCGGCATCTTCTTCATCACCTCAGATGATGATGATGATGCTGATGATGTAATAGTAATAGTAATAGTAATAGTAATAGTAATAGTAATAGTAGTAATGGCTCTGAGCCTTAAATTCCCGACAGACTGCATCGGTGGTCCCCTTTCTTACCAAGACGGTAGTCTGCATTCAGGTTCCATGTTGGCGGGAGCCCTAGACCCTTTAGCCAAGCAGTTGGAACATGGAAATGTAAGGGGATGCTTTATGCCTTTGCTTAAACCGCTAAGCCCCTCACAAAAACCTACAAGCCCCCATCCCGTATAGCCGTTTAGGGTTTGTGGTTAAGGTTACCTAAACCTCTAAAGCCTAAGCCCCCGAGCCTTGCATTTCCCTCAACCTCCACTAAGCCTCTGAACCCCAAAAACCTGAGCACCTTAACCCAGACGATAAGAGCTTTCTAACTTTCAAACAGCTTATGCCCCTAAGACCTCTAAAGCCCTAAACCCCGTATATCCCCATATTACCCCCATATAACCCCAACAGAATGTTAGTAGTTTCCAGGATCCCTAAGCCCCTTATGCCAGGGAGATTCTGAACGCACTTGCAGCCCCGGACCTTCTACGTCAAGCTCTGATCCCTGAAGGCCCGGGAGGGCCGTCAAGGGTTATAGGATTGAGGGTTTAGGGTTGAGGGTTTTACAGGGTTTATGGGTTTCTCCGGTTTTTAAGAGGTTTAGGCCCTAAATCCAAAACCCAAGACTATTGCAGGGTTTAGGTTTATAGGATTTAGGTGTTTGAGGTGGCTGGAGGAAGGGTTTAGGGGCTGACAATGAAGCCTAAAGCCCGACCTGGCTGCTAAGATGAGCATAGGTACACTGTTTAGGACTTCGGGTTTAGGAATGCTCATCTGAAGCAAGGTGGAGTGACAACAGCACACCTAGACCTAGATCTCGGCGTGCCAGTCAACACCGTCAGATGTTTGTCAGCAAGACTTTGCTGATGCATGTTGCAACCATGCGCACTGCCCTGGATGCCAGAAATCGATGATATGAAGCTGCATCTTGGCCCGGAATCTTTTAGAGTTTAGGGTTTGGGGTTGAGGGGTTTAGGGTTTAGGGTTTATGTTTTAGGGTAGTGTGGGCCATCTTCAGCCCCAGTATGTAGGGCCCTGATGATCGGATCATTCTTGAGTTAGCCTGTGTCAATGCGTGCTTGGTTGGCAACTGCCTTCTTGGCGCTGCTGCGTAGGGCACAGGCAAAGAAGGCCTGGAGGTAGGCGCTTTGCCTGCTCGGTCCACTGGGATGCGAACGGCTGTCAGTTTTCCTCATTAATGATCATTAATGTGCCTATGAGAACCTATTCGTGATTTGTGTTGGGGGGCCTTTTAACGTACAACCCAAGCCATGTTTTGCCATTTGTCGCGTGTCTGTCTGCAAGAGTTTTGATACTGCTAAGCTTCGAAGTTCACCGCTTGTTGCCTATGCCGTGCCGAGGAGTCTCAGTGCGTGTGATCAGGACAGGGCTGAGACTGTAGTCAGAAAGTTGCATCATGAACCGTCCTCAATATATAAGATGATGTTCCTACAGCAGAATCAATGCCTTAGCCAAGTGGCTTCTGGGAAGGGGTTTGAGCATGGGTCTCTGCACGTTTCGATCACAGCGAGATCACAGCAACTTGACAGACTCCGCCCCTCATCCTGGCTATCCGGTCGGGGAGAGAAGACGTTGCAAAGCGCCTTGCTTCCAGCCGCTAGGAGTAAAAGCCTGTCCAGAGTTTCACGGTATCACATGGTTGTGGCTACCATGGATTTCAGGATTGTAGGGATTGATGCTTAGAATTTCAACAGCAGTAAGGGCATAGAAGCAGTGGCCCTTGGCCGCGAATGCTGTTAGCCTCCCAGAGAAGATGCATTCAGTTTGCAGAGTCTCCCGGTATTGCAATACATGGTACTACGTTTATTCCTTTGAATATTTTTGTTACCCGTATTCACACTATTCTTACTCGTCTAAGGAATGTTGGGTCTGGATGAGAATGACCGTGCTCGGGTCAATTGGGAAAAAGAATGCCACAAGGGTGACTAGGTGGCCCTGTGGAATGCTTTTCATGCTTTTCTCCTTCCGTACAGCTTTTTTTTCTGTTTTTCATGAGAAACCCTAAACCCTAATGAAGACCCGTGATTAATAAACCCCCCTCCCTTTAATGTCCTTGATACTAGGAGCCCTATCATGACCCTTATGAAGGGAAGGGGGTTTATTAATCATGGGTCTTCAGTAAACCCTAAACCCTAAAACCCTGAAACCCTAAAACCCTAAACCCTGAAACCCTAAAACCCTAAACCCTATTCCTTTTTTTTGGGTTGGTCTTGAAAGCTGCCAACCAGGTGACCTCAAGCAGGAGCTAGCCAGCAACTTTGCTGCAGAGGGGTGTTGGGTTTAGGGTTTACCCTAAGGCTCCTGAGGCAAGGCTTGGGCTTTGGGGGCCAAGGTTTGGGATCCCATTATGAGGGTCCAAGAGCCTGAGGGTTGGATTTACGGTTTAGGGCTCAGGGCTTTAAGTGCCTAAACCCTGAACTGCGTCGGGTTTAGGGATTTGAGGGCTTGAAAGATCCTAGGCCTCAAAAAAGTTTAGGGTCAAGCCTGTGAATTGCACTAAGCTTCTTGAGAAAGCCAACTTTGGCTTTGGGGCTTTGTGCACTTCGCGCTACCCTAAACCCTGAATCCTAAACCCTAAAGCGTAAACACAGCCGGCAAGGCGTACATGTGTTTTGAGGGATCATCTTGTCGGAATGGGGCTTGATCTGAGGGTCCTCTGGGGATGTTATTTTTTAGGGATCCCATAGGCCTACTTAGGAAAAGCGTAGCGGAAATTATCTGCCATTTAGGGATTTGGGGTTTAGGGTTTGGGGCTTCTTGGGAACAGGAAATTTTGATCAACTGCCAATGCGAGCCTTCATGCTGAGGAATTCCCATATCACAAGGGATGTTGACCTCGTAGTTTCTTCAGCTTTTTTTTTCCTTGTCAGAAAAGGTCAGTTGAGTAATTCTGTCTTGTATTATCGTAGACTTATTAGAATACGGCCCCTATTATTCAGGTACCACACAAATAATGTTGCTAACCTCCAGAAAAAGGATATTCTGATTTGCTTCTGATTCGGCAGCCTGCAGCCACTCACCCCTAGAGCCCTGAACCCCTCAAAAATAGTGGGTTTTGGGCTTGGGTTCCCCAAATGCGGATGTTTTCTGAAAGTCATTGTGAATATCATCGTTGCAATATTTTCTGGAAACCCCTGAAACATGAAGCCAGGTATCTTCAATCAAGCTGGTCACACCTTCTTCCAGCTTATCCGGTCAGGGGAGGCCTGGCAAGTCCGTGCATTCACCCTAAACCCTAAACCTAATACCCTAAATCCCAAAACCCTAACACCCTACCCGTGGTTGCTTCCTCCTGCAGTGTAGGGCACATGATGAGGTTGCGTTGGCCAACTCCACCCCTCAAGACTACAGAGTTTGGGTTTAGGGTTTAGGGTTTAGGGGTTTTGGGATTTAGGGTTTAGGGCTCTAGGGCTCCAGTATAGCCATAGCATGATAGTCGTAGGGTTGGGGTGACGAACACGCCCTTATTCTAACAGAGTTCTTGCCGCAGAAATGTCGAAATGCTGTCGTGCTGTTTTAGCAAGATTGATACTAAATCTTGAACCCTAAACCCTATACACCCTAAACCCCACATCCTCAGCCTTAACTCCTAAACCCTAAGCCTTCAACCCTAAGCCCTAAACCTTAAACCCTAGAAACCCTAAATAGCCCATTTCAACCCGAAGCCCTAAACCTTAAACCCTGTAAACTTTAAACCCTTAACCCACATCAGATCCTGGCCCGGTCGGGTAGGTTGGAGCTGTGCGGAATTTACTGGTCGCCCAGCCAGCTCTGGTGGAAAGTGCCTTTGCCAACAACTTGGCCAAGGGTTTTGGGTCAAGGATTTAAGGATTTAGGGTTTAGGGATTCAGGGTTCAGGGTTTAGGGATTTAGGGTGTTGAGTTTTGGAATTTGGGGTTTAGGGTTTAGGGATTTAGGGTGTTGGGTTTTGGGATTTGGGGTTAAGGGTTTAGGGATTTAGGGTTTGGGTTTGGGCTTAGCAACAACTTTGGAGGATTAGGGCAAATGTAGCTGAATGAACAGTTTTACTTTTCTCCCAAGTGCTGCCATGCTAGGGGGACTTGCCTAGAGGCACAGTTCTGCCTGAGTCATGATAGCCTTGAACCCAGCTTAGGATGTAGGGGCTAGGGCATTGCAGAAGATCATGATTCCGACATGTCATGTGAGCCATTGTCTAAACTCCTAGTATCCCCCTTAATAACCCCTATAGTAGTCCCCTATATAATCCCCTATATAACCCCCTTTAAGGAGTTTAGACTGTGGTTCATGTGGGTAGGCCTTGCATACACCCAGCCGTATTTGGGGCATGGTTCCCGGAGGGCCGAACTTCGAGGTGCTGATGCTGCTGGCAACACAGCCCTGCACGTGGCGGTGCAGAAGTCTTTCAAGCATCAAAAGGAGATCGTACAGTGCCCTGGCCATATTTCTGACAGCTATTTCTTGCTTGGCAAGTGCAGTGTGCCACCCATTTCATCGCAGGTGTTTCTGATTCCAGTCTTCTGAGGCTTCTTTTGAGCCATGGAGCAATCCTGAGTGAGAATGGGCTGAATCAAGAAACTCCTCTGCACCTCCTCTGCCGTCGATGCTTGGTTCGGATTGCTGCCTTAAGTGTGTTGAGTCATTGGCTCAGTAGGGTTGTCACTCCTCCCCCTTTACCAGTTGTGTGCATGGGAGTTCCCCAAATTAGAGTCCGACTTTGGTACCACTAAATGGGGGATTGTCAAAATTATGGTCCCTTTCTGGGTCCCGATTATAATACGGGGCCTAATTTAGGGGACCCAAAAAGGGACCATAATTTTGACAATCCCCCAAATACGAGGCGCCGTAATATAATCTATAACCAAAAGGGGCCATAATTTTGAAAGCAACCCGCATCCGCCGACCACATCTGAACGTTGCCATTTCCTTTGGGGTTCATGGTGCCAGGCACCTCAACATCAGTTGGTCCGAGCCTTCTTTCTGAGTCATTCAGGGATATATGAGTTGTAAGTGTTTTCTACAAACCCCCAACTGTTGCATTGCCCAACACCCTAAACTGAAAGCATAATCTCCGACAGCCCAGAATCATTTGGCAAGGTTGTCCTTCGGAAAGCTGCTGCTCAATCACTGGGTTGCGGTTTTGGAAGTCCGACGAAGCAACTAGAACTAAGTGACCATAGTAAGGATACATAGCAACATAGGAAACACATCAGTTTGATTCAAATGGTAACCTGACTTAAGATCAACTCTCTGCAAAACCTTGCGACAGTCCACCGCCTCATGCGGCAATGCAGGTGGCGCTATGTATGTTCTTCTCGGCTTGCTGGCCCTTAGAGCCCTAAATCCGAACCCCTACCGTTCTTTATCATTGTCCGGCTCATCACATCCTAAACTTATTCGTCGAATCGGATGAATCGATGGTGCTCTGCGCGTGCATTTGATTAAAGATCAAGGCCTTTGAAGGGCTACGTGGGGATGATATAGGGATTCCATAATAGATTACAGGGATCATATACAGCGATATAAGTAGATTGTATAGGGGACTCGCGTTCAGCATGCAAATGGCTCCCCAAAAACACATGATCCTTTTTACCATGAGCTTCCATGCTGCGCTGCAGGGCCATGAGGCCGGTTTGATATTTGGCAAATGTGTGTTCAGCTTTTAGGTTTTAGGGTTAAGGGTTTAGGGTCAAGGGTTTAGGGTTAAGGGTTTAGGGTGTAAAGGTTGCTGATGAGTCTCATGTCAAGCGCGCATCGCTCATCTGCCTGCTGAGGATGTGCTGCACAGATGTACCAGAGTGGCTATGACTGGCCCCCGGGAAGGAAGTGGGAGGAATGCAAAGGATGGTCACCTTCAAAGGACGAAAACGTTATTTCCGAAACACATATCCCAAAGCCCCTATACCTCAAGACAATTCTGATGAGCCCTACTCCCTGAAGGACAAAGTGGATGCAGAAGATGGTGCCAGCCCTAGCAGTGGAGCGTAATAGTACTATAGTAGTTTCCATTT